TCTGATTCATAATATGAATCATAGCAGGTTCTCCTAGTGTATCATAAAGAGGTACATAAATCATACTATGAAAATGACATGCTAAAGCTGTAATTAGCCACTATGAAAAGAAAAATAGAAATAAAAACTCTAAATGACCAAATTTAGTGATTATATTGCAACACTATTAACTGCATAGATACCAATAAATGTATTTTGGCCATGATTTTCACCCAATCGAATAAGTGCACTACCAATATCTGTAGCCGCACGTTCAGTCTAAAACATAAGATATTTATTTGAAATGATACAAAAATGTCCGATTATTTACTTCTCCGTATGTCAGCCATACATATTCACATTTATGATATATACGAAAACCTAAACATCGATTGTCTCCTACAAAAGATAAATTTAAATAAAGTCTCTTAATCATTCAGTTTTACCATATTTTCTTGCAATATCTCTGCTAATTTTAAAACCCTCCTAAATTGTGGTGTAAACATAACCATCGATCGGATATTACCAGTTTTGCTAAATGGTTCTGAACAAAGTGATGCAGCAACTCGCGCTTCTGGACATCCTTGTGCCTTAAAAGAAAAAGGTATTACAGCAATATTAAAGTGAATCCTAACTAACCAAAAAAAAAAGAGAACTAAAAGTATTCTAGAATTTCTGAAATGATGATGTATTTTTGTTGAATAAAATATATTCTTATTAATGAAAATGATTTTATAGCAACAACTATTTCAAACTACATAATCAGAATAGTGAGAAAAACAGATGATAAAGATATTTGCTCGAGATGTAGAAATAGAAAAGATAGTGTTTGCTGACAATTGATCATTAATAGAAAAGGATTATTGTCTTTTAAAAACCTTTGACTCTGTGTATTTTGTATTGGTATAGAAAAGCAATAGAAAAGATGTAAGTTTCAGATTTCATCTACAAAGGAGTTACACCAAGGGGGGGGGGGGGGGGGGACAAAAAAAATATGAGGGTGGTGACCCCGCCTCTTGCTCAAAAAAACGCCGCCGTCTT